AAAAATACATAGGCACGATTTTTTTTTAAAAGCATTTAAAGTTGGAATTTTGACAAAATTTATCAAAATCTCAGAAATTATCAATCGTTGGAATTAAAAAATTATAAAATGTTCAGTTTTTATAACTAAGAGTTGAAAATTTAAAACAAAGATTCTCTTAAATAATTCATACTGTAACCAAAAAATCTAAAAAATATATAAACACACTTATTTTTTACAGACATTTTAATTTCAAATTTAGACAAAATTTCATATTTAAACCAAGAATTACGATTTTAGTTATTTTGTAGTGATTGAATAATACTATTCGTGGGTACTTGAAACTTCTAAAGTGTACTATTATATATCTATGATAGTATCACGGTTTTTGTTGATGTATAACGCGTTATAAGTACCTAATGGATATTGTGATATGATTAATTTGGAATTTATTATAGGTACCTATTATAGGTCAATTTTTTGTTTAATACCATAGATATGTATATAATATGTATTATACATAGACTGACATACCGTCTCCGCTCAGAATCGTTTTTCTTATACAATGATATTATATCGTTGAATTCAAATTTAATATCATCCATTATACAGTGACCCACTTGTAACCTACTGTACAGCAGAGCGACACCCACTTGCCCACCTTTTTTTTATATTTTTATATTTTTATATTTTTATATTTTTATATTTTTATATTTTTTTTTGTGTTTGTCATCACGTTTTGGGACAGTAAAAGTGCTTCGATTTTCTTCAATAGTACCTTTTCTGATAGGAAAGTGAATCTAGTTGGTACTTTGGGGGGTCAAAAGTAAACATTTTCCAGTAGTTTTCACAAGCGCCGGGAAAAACAACATAAAAATTAAGGAAAAACGGGAATTTTTATGCAAAATCGATTTTCCAAAAAATCGAATTTGGTTTTTGGTGTAACTTTAAAACAAATGACCGTAGATACATGAAATTTTCACTGGTTGTTTATATTTGCATTTTCTATACACGATAACATTTTCAAAATATTTTGATTTATTTTGAACTGTTTAGGGACATTTTCATTTTCCATTTTTTTTTAGTTTTTTTTCTAAAAATGATAATAAAATTTTATTTGTTGGTTGCGAAAGCTTGAAAATTTAATAGAAGGCTCCTAATATGTTGTTTCAAAGGCAGATGAAAAATATTAAAAATCCTTAGTCCCAATTTTTTTTTATAAGCATTTAAAGTTCAAAAATTGACAAAATATGGAAAAATCACGAAAATTAGCAAATTATTTTGAGTTAAGAATTCGTAAAAATTTTTCTTTTTAAATCTAAGATTTGAAAATGAAACCCAAGATTCCTTATAAGATTATCTACCTTTATCAATAAAAAAATCTCTACCGGACAGTCAAATTAAATTTTTATGAGCGTTTGAAATTCAAATTTTTACAACATTGGATTTTCACTCGATTACTCATGTAGCGATTTCCTTATTTTGTTGCAATTCAAAAACGAACAACTGTAGATACATGAAAATTTCACTGAATGTTTAAATTAGCATTTTCTATACACCATACAATTTTGAAAATATTTTGACTCTTTTTGAGCTGTTTATGGACATTTACAGCTTTCAATTTTTTTTAGTTTTTTTTTCTATAAATATCAATAAAGTTTTATCTGTTGGACCAAAAAGTGTAAAAATTTAATACAAGGCTCCTGATATATTGTTACAATAGCAGTTGAAATATATTAAAAATACATAGGCACAGTTTTTTTTTATAAGCATTTAAAGATCAAATTTTGACAAAATTTATCAAAATCTCGAAAATTATCAATCATTGTAATTAATAAATTATAAAATGTTCAGTTTTTATAGCTAAGGATTACAAATTCAACACAAAGGTTCTCATAAATAGTTCATACTATAACCAAAAAATCTAAAAAATATATGAACACACTTATTTTTTACAGACATTTTAAATTCAAATTTGGACGAAATTACATATTAAAAAACCTAGAATAACTATTTTAGTTATTTTGTTGTGATTGAATAATATTATTCGTGGGTACTTGAAACTTCTAAAGTGTACTATTATATATCTATGATAGTATCACGGTTTTTGTTGATGTATAACGCGTTATAAGTATCTAATGGATATTGTGATATGATTAATTTGGAATTTATTATAGGTACCTATTATAGGTCAATTTTTTGTTTAATACCATAAATATGTATATAATATGTCTTATACCTAGAAGGACATACCGTCTCCGCTCAGAATCGTTTTTCTTATACAATGATATTATATCATTGAATTCAAATTTAATACCATCCATTATACAGTGACCCACTTGTAACCTACTGTACAGCAGAGCGACACCCACTTGCCCACCTTTTTTTTTATTTATTTTACAAATCCTATTATCAGAAACTTTTACTAAAATATTTTAAATTTGTTTTAACTTTTTATCTTATACATTTTTGTGAATGGTTAAAAATCATTAAAAATATAGTTTTTTTCTTAAAAAAGCTTGTAATTAAAATGTTTATAGTTTTATGTTTTGAATTTTGAATTCATTTTTCATGATATAGGTATGTGTATAGTTCATGTTAGCAAGTGAATTGTTTTTAATTAAATTTTTTTAATCTTCTTCCCCATTAAATTCACAGTCCTATAATTATAACAATTTGGGAATCAAATTAAGTTTTTTAGATTCTGAGTGGAGCGAGTTAATTAGTTAATTCAACTTAAAGACTATGATTATAAATAATAAAAATTAAAAAAATTCTGACTGATAAACCGTCTCCGCTCAGAATCGTTTTTCTAATACAATGATATTATTATATCATTGAATTCTAGTTAAATACAATCCATTATACATTTACCCACTTGTAATCTACTGTACAGTAGAGCGGCATCCACTTACAAGCTTTTTTATTATTAATGAAAATGTTTTATTGTAATTTTAATAGGGATGAATCATAAGAATAAAATAATAATTGGCTTATATAGAATTTAATATAAAAACTTTAAGCGTTTTCAAACAATGTAGCATATTTTAATTAAAATTTCCTTCTATTTACAAAATATATTTTTTCTTTTCAATTTATTATAATTTTATTACAGAATATGCAATGACACTACAGGTACCTACTTAAGTTAAAACCGTCTTTTACGCTGTAAAAATTAATTTTTCTGAAAACGATTATTTTAGATTACCCTAAATAGTATGAAAATATATTGAAGAACACAAATGGTTTACCTCTAAGTTCACGGTAGGTATTACACTTAAGTACTTAATGTTCATCTGAAATTAAACGAAAATGTTATATTTTTTTTCTGAAGTGAATAGTTCTGAAAAAAAAAAAAACACAATAAGAAATCGAATTGAAAAATAATATACATATTTCGATTTTTTTTTTTTTAGTTATATAATATTATGTACCTACAGTAAACCTTCCACAGTACAAAGAAATACACATCAAATATATTTTTATATTTCAGATTAAGTTTGTTGAGATTAATAAAAAATATTATTGAACTTTACGCTTATATAAGTTCAAATTTGGACGAAATTAAATGTTAAGTAACCAAGAATAACGATTTCAGTTGTATTGTAATATACAAATATGATAAAAAAAAAAATAATAATAATTCAACATAACCTGCTACCGTATTAATAATAAAAATATAAATATACCTAATATAAAATATCTTAGGCAAAGAAATTATCCACTAAGGGTAGTTAAAATTTCTTTGTATACCTAAGAAACCTGTGAACATTTAAGAGGACGCCACACGGGCAAAAATACAGTCCAAACCATATCAAGTAAGGGTAGTGTGGGTGACCTCTCATCACGTTTTCATGTTATGAACTTTTTTTTAAAATATCACATATTCTTATTGTTCCTAAAATAACAGATTGTATATCCTTATATATATAAAAGAACAGGCCTTTTTTATGTACCAATTTTGTGACGACGCTATTTAACTTTTTTCCAATTTTTTTTGCAATTCAGAATAGGGATTTTTGATTTCATTTGATTGGAGGGGTCACAACATTATTTTGGGTAAAAAAAATTTGTAAAATGTACGATAAATTTCTTAAAATGTACAATACTTATATCTCTACTAGAGATTATTTTTAAAATATAAACTCAAATATCTTTGATAATAATATATTTAAAAAAAAATGTATAAGTATAAAACTGTTGTAACAATAATAACGTTCAATTAATGTCTTTAAAATAATTTTTGTAAAATCATTCTTTTAAGAGTTATGATTAATTATATTCAAAAACTAATGATTTCTAACATTTTTTCGTTATTAAAACTTTAGAGCTTTTGCGGCACGGGTTAAAGTTAACCATTTCGTCTAAAAAAATTTTCTCATGCTTTTTTTAAGTAACTGAACCTATTTGAGGTGGTAACTTGAACATTTTGCAATTTTTTTTTACTTCATCTATAACGGAGGACCACCCTAATCTCTAGTGTATGTATATTGCATGCCAAAATTAAAATATAATTATATGTCTAATAATTATATCCAATTAAATCATTGTACTCAAGAACCATTGGCTCAAAAATATTTGCGTCAAAAAAGAAAGGTGCTTTGATTTCGAAATCAAAATTTTTAATTGATTATTTTTGTTATGTTTCAATACGGCAATTTATACAATCGATATAAGAGTAAGTACTATCGACTAACGAGTAGAATTATGTTGAGTAAACAAACGTAATTGTATTTTGTACGATTCTGTTAGGTACATGTCCTCTAATACCTATAGGTAACAATTTCTAATTTTTGTTTACTTCACGTGATAAAATATACAAATGATTATATTTTAAGTAATTGTACAATTCAAATTTAACTGTGACGTACATTTTAACATTATGGTTTTTACTAATAATAGAGAGGCACAAAGGTGAGTTAAGTAACTTTAATAATGCTGTATTAAAATATTATATAATATGTTAGTATGGGTGCCAATATTATATTTAGGTAGGTAGTTGAGAGTATTTTCCATTTCCGTTAAACAATCCTGACGTCGAATTTAAAGCAGCACTGTGCGTCGTCACTGTGAGCATTAGGTTCGGTGTCCCAGAACTTGAACATGAATGTGTAACCTGTCCTTGGATAGTTTTTCGGTAAGAATACATTATACAGCCAATTCTGTTCAGTGTCCTTCACCACGGGACAACTTGTGTATAAGCATGCGTTTGTGTCCATCTGAAGAATAAATGGCAAGTCCAACATAAAGATTTGAGCGTATAGTCTTGTCTTTGGTAAGTTCGAACCAAATTCTGAAATGAATTGATAATTAATATTCAAATATAAAGAGCAGTTAAAAATCTTAATATTTCCAAATTTATAATATACATAAATATATAGTATATATAGTATATAGTTAATATATATATATATATATATATATAAAAGGTGAGCAATGATCATGGTTGGTGAATTATTACTCTGTATATTTTAAGTATAATTTGACGATAGAACAAGACAGTTTAGAATAAATTGCAGTACCTATTCAATATTTCTAGACATATTATTAAAAATATTTTGATAAGCACATTACATAGATACCTACTTGTCACCATTGCCGGATCTATGGTGGGAGGGGGCGAGTAGGTACAAGTACAACTGATTTAATTGTTTTTAGATTATTCATCAAATTACATTTTCGTACCCACCTGTGCATTTACGAGTTACATAACATTGATGCTATGTTGAGTATAGGTTTCAACAAAACATTACCAATTAATATCAGCACGATATTATATAGCTGTTTTATAAAAATAATGTTCTTTTTGTCAATAACTAATATTCTATTGTATTCTATAAATTGGGGGGGGGGGGGCTAAAGTACATACATGCACTAAAAATTGTCAAAATATGCACTAAAAAGTTTGAAAATATGCATTTATATGCCCTGATATTTTGTAAATTATGCACTCAAAATATGCATTATGTAAAAAAATCATGACCAATTTTTAAAATAATAAGATTAAATCCATACATTTTAAAAGTGTTTTTATATATTTAATAGTCAAAGTTAATAAAATAAAAAATAAAATGAATACTTGTGAAGTTCTAATAGCTTTGTCATCTTTATAAATCGTAATTAGGTATTAAAAAAAACATTCAGATGTATGAACTTACGAGCTCTGCTTATTAGGTATACTAAGTTGTTTTCATTTTTCGATTTGTGTTATATCCACGTAGGTGCAAATAACCTAAATTGTTTTGATCTAAGTCCTCCCCCCCCCAAAGTTCTCCCATTAGGGCCAATGGTGTATCATGGGTAATAGGTGACATAGAGCTAAATTAAACTTGTGTATCTAATGTAGGTACCGATTGGGCGTTTATTATAATTTACCAGAAAACCTGATTTTAACAAAAGAAAACAAACAAAGAGGGAATCAATATTAGTAACAAATACTCGTGTGGAGTTAATTATGGCTATTGTTAGTTGTCTTATATAAAAAGTAATTAATATGACCCGAGGTTTCGCTCACATAATATATCAGTACCTAGGTAGTTTTGTTATGATGACTGTTGATGAGTAAGTTACTTAGTAATCTAATGTAGTATAATAAATACATTTTAATTTGTATTATTCATTTGTTATTGTTCTTTTTATTTATATTTTTTTTTTTCATGGAACTTAAGCCCGGCGACTAAGGCCATTATCTGTTGTAGGGGTTATGAACTGTGGTAGGGGTAAGGTTGGTATGGTATGCTGTTTTTTATCTTGACTAATTCATCATCATGTATAGGCACCTATTTTATAAAATATATGTAATTTATGGGTTGTTCTATTATGTAATATATCTAATATCTCTCTTTAAACATATGTATTTTAATTTATATTATTTACTTGAATACCTAGGTATTTTTTCTGTAGTTTTGTAAAATATATTTATAATACATACTAATTTAATTGTGGAAACATTGAATACATGAATACATGATAATATAATATTAGGTATTTGTATTTGATAAAAACTTGTAATATTTGTGTTATGTTTGAGCCATTTGAGGTTATGCTTAACAAAAGAAAGGTAGCCTTTAGGTGATCTTTAGTTAGGTTTCTATTTTCTACTTTAAAAAATGTAATGTGATTACTGATTATGCTGTACGATGATGACAACAAAGACGGTTATTATAGTTCATATTATGTTAAGTAAGTAGGTAGCTAGTAATTTTGTTCACATAATGTAGATATGTCTAATTTTCTTTCCTCCATAAAGTATTAGAAAAAAAGAAATGTATGGCTTTGAATCATGTTATTTTACTAATGTTTACCTACCTAAAGTAAAATTATTACTAATTAAAATTAATTAATATTACTATGTCATGTTATTTCCACATAATAATATAGAGTACCTATCTTACTCTTTATTCTATTGTATAACTTTTCATTATATAATACTGTGTGAGTGCGCCTGATTTTTCGTAAAAAAAATACTAATTCTGGTAATTTCCCTGAGATGGGCGTATTTTTTTTAAATTTCCCTGGTTGTTAAAAAGCTAAGATCCGGCCCTTTATGCAACTATCCAAGTGTCCTAAGTACCTTCCTACCTTCCAAAATAAATATCAAGCTAAATTATTTATATTTTCTATTATTGTGTTATAGTACTATTTAAAAAATATTAATTATACGTACTAGGTTTATATTTGAATGCGATAGACACGTTCGTGGCTTGTGGCAATTCACATACTTTGTTGTCTAAAGCTTCGGGACATGGATCAATAAACAGATCATATACAACACAATTAGTACCTGAAAAAAAGAAAAGAAACAGTGAAACAGTACCTAAGTAATATAAAAAAAACGGAGTAAAATCTAATAATATTAAAATGTATAAGTTTATAAGTTATAACCAATTATGCAATACTCACTCCGACACATGCGAAAGTCTTTTACTTGTTCGGCGTTCACTGCACTTGCAGCAAACATTAATCCTACTACAGTTAACACGAAAATCGCCATTGTGTCATGGAATCAGAACGTATACTAAATACTAGCACGAGAAAACTTTGTTGTCAGTGCGTGTGGTTTGGTAGAATAACCGGTTATCATTTATATAGAGAGCACACAGTTTTTTTTTTTTTATGTCAAAGTGGGGGTTTATCCAATCCATTTGAATTCCTAAGGCATGAATGAATCTATGTGTATAGTAGCAGTGAATAATATTATACATTATACTGGTTAGATATAATATCAAAACCAAACAATACGAAGCGTCAATAGCGTGTCCATCGCTTATACTGTATTGTATATATAAGTACTTACATAGTTATTATTATGTTCACATAAAATAAAGTATACCTACGCATTACTCTGTACACAGATTCAATATTTATTCAGTATTTATTATTGAATAATTGCCACTTTGTAAAAATAAACTATGTAAAAATAAAAATACATCTGAATGAATAGTAATAACTTTTTTTTTTTTATAGTAGTAATATAATACCCACCAAATCACGCCTATACATATATGCAAATGCATGGAAATTCCACCGATCGAGATTTGAGACCCTTTTAAACATTTATTCATGTTAATTCCAACAATACGAATGTTTTTACTGAATAAAAAAATATAAAATTGAACCGTTTTTGTATCCGATAAATTATTAACATCACGTATATAATAGGTACACTATTTATGTATATACCTATTTTTTATATAGGTACATAATATTATACTTACTCTTTTATATATTACTAGCTGATCCCGTGCACTTCGTTGCCCGTTAAATGTACCAACTCTATATGACTAAAACTTTGTTCAATTCGTTATTTAATATTCGGTGTATGCTGTGTTCAAAATTTATATTAACTTTTCCGTTGCCCGAAATAATAATTCTAATTCGCAGCAGTATATTATCAGGTTGGCAATCTACCTGCGGTTAGGTTAGGTGCGGACCCCGTGATGTTTGTAACTTTATAATTTAACTCTAAAGTATCAAAGTTATACCAAGTATAAGTATATAAGATTCATGAACATTTCACTGGTTGTTTATGTTCGTATTTTATATACACGATAACATTTTCAAAATATTTGGATTTATTTTTGAACTGTTTAGGGACATTTTAAGTTTCCAACTTCGAGTTCATATCTTGACAAAAGTTTATGTTTTCTTTTTCTATACACCGTAAGATTTTGAAAATATTTTGACTATTTTTGAGCGGTTTACGGATGGTTTAAGTTTTCGAATTTTTTTCTATAATTGTCAATAAAATTTTAATTGTTCTGTAAAAATGCGTGAAAATTTAAAACAAGACTCCTGATATATTGTTACAATAGTAGTTGAAAAATTAAAAATACATAGTCCCAATTTGTTTTTATAATCAATTAAAGTTTGAATATTGACACAATTTATCAAATTTTAAATTTAATTATTATTTTGTAGTTAAAAATTTATAAAATGTTCAATTTTTATATCTAAGGATTGAGAATTTAAAACAAGGGTCCATGGACTTTATTATAATATATAAATTACTTTATTCACAATAATATCATCAAAATAAGATTTTTTTATAATTTTATAACTTTATTAAATTATTGTTATATATTTTAAGTCAATATTGTCGTATATTATACTGCGTCATGAATGTGCAATATTATTATATTATGTTGTTTTTTTTATAAGTAATGCGTTTAGAAATTAAATTGTAATTATTTTTATTGCAATAAATGATTTGTCATACCGGTGGCGTATACAGAATTTTCATAAAATTGATTAAAAAATAAAAAACGCATTTCAAATTAGTGAATAAATTATATTAATGTAATTTGCAAATCACAATAAAAGTTCTTATTTTGTTAGTGTTTTCCATCCAACTCAATAGTAATAATTACTTTTGTATGAAACAAAATAAATACAAATTTATAAATTGTATTCAATTTAAATACAAAAAAAGGCAATTTAGGGTTTCAAAGGTTCGTGACCATCTTAATCCCACATAACTTGTATATCATACACTGTTCAAAAAAACCATATAGTAGTGCCAAAAGGACCAAAAGGTAGTCAAATATTTCTAGCCTATTCTATGTATTAAAAATGATAATTTTTTAAATAATTATGTGTTTAAAAATGTATTTTTGTAATAAATAGCTTTTGCAAGACGTTATCACTTAAGCACTTAACCATATTTTCAACATTTTTTTTAGTATTTATTTTATAGAATTAGCAGGGTAAGTAGTTCCTTTTAACTGCGACTCGACCGTCCTGCACCAACCCGCGGGGTGTATACGAGCTTGCACCAAGATCGCCTCGGTATTGTCTATAAGCCTCGGCCCTTGTTCCGGTGAAGGTGAACTCGGGTAACGAATCTCTTGCTGTACACAAGTCCTGGTATGGTATTAGTACCGAACGTTCATGTGCGTAATGTGACGAGAGTATTTTGTGACCCGTATAGTCAGAATGACGGAAAAAAAAAACCAAGGAAAAAAAAACCACAGAAAAAAAACCAAAATAAAAAAAAAGTATATACCTACAAATAGTATTATTATTAAGTAACATTAATAGAAAAAAGATATATCGTAAAAATTTTGATTATATTATCACTTTGGTTTTTTTTCCGTATACCGTATAGTCATTATGGGTCTCGACTCTCGAGCGTAAAAAACAGTCTGTGGTTCTCGGCGGCAATGTGGCTGGCTCTATGTCGAGAGCCGCCATCATTGTACATATTATAATACCTGCCCGACTGGTAATTCTCGTGTGTACCAGTTGTTATCTGTTCAGGTCATGGGTGGATGTTGAACCGCGGGACCGTGTTGTTGTGTGGCTGCTTTACTGCTGCTAGACGCGTGTTTCCGTAAAGAAACTCGTCATGCTTGCCACAAGCGCCCGTAAACCTTGCCTCGAACGATTTTGAGTCGTTCGTCTGTGGCAACGTTTGTGTTAAAATTTTTAACTGTTCCGCTGCATTTTTAAATATGTCGGTCCCTACCGGGTTTGCGGACTGGCCCTGTTGCATGGTCGACGGGAAGCCGTAGTGTTCCGATATTTTGTCCGTAGGTTTTTGACTTGTTGTAGGGCTTGTCAAAATACCCCCGGATGGTGACCCGAAAATCTGACTGGCGTTCGTGTTTTCCAGCGTTGGCGTAGTGGGTGGTTGTTGTTCAGTGCCGCCCTGTTATCCTGTGATTAGGGGCTGTACTGATTCGAACCTCACGTTCTCTGGAACTAGTCCACTTTCCCTAAGGTGCTGCTCCTCTAGCCTGACTTACACATCCGAATTTGACCCGGATATGCTGAGTCCGCGGGCCGTGCACTCGATGTGTAGCTCAGCCAACGATAACTGTTGTAACGTTTTTCCCGTCATTGTGTAAAATTATTTACCAATGTGCTCGTTACACTGTTGTATGGTCGGTTGCTTGTGCAGAGGATTTTTTTTTTACGTAAATATCGCGCGATAATTTGTATTTTAATATTTACGATTACCTACGTAAACAGATCAACTGTCGACGGCGCTGCTGCTGCGTACCAAGAATAGCAGTGCTGGGTCAACGACCTCGGCGGCGGCAGCTGTTGGCTGCAGCGGCTGTTACCGGTTTTGGCCTGCGCGCTGTGCTGTTATCGGCGGCAGTGCCGCGATACGAAAGGTGAGCGTTGGGCGGGGTGGCGGTACGTTACGTGACTGCTTCCCACTGCCGTACCACGATTATTCTCGTTTCGCTCAGAATTCCCCTTTACGTACTAAAATACTTGTTACGTAATTCTAATTTATGAATACTGGCTAACGTGAAGACACACTCCTGGTTAAATATCTTAAGGGGATTCGATACCGTGATTTTCTGTTTTTGTCTAATACAAGCGCGACATAGTATTTTAGACGTGTTTTTTGCCAAACATACCAATTGATCTAATGAAGCAAGAAGCAAGAATTCTGAAAACAGATTTGAATTTGTCGTCAAGTCTACTTGAAATCGACTTTCCCATATTTTTGATATTATCCCCTACATTTTTTAAAATGTCATATTCAAAAAGAGTGTTTAAAAATTCTGTTATTTCAATTTTTGGAGAAGTTAAAATCAAAAAATCAAAAATGTGGGAAAGTCGATTTCAAAAAGACTTGACGACAAATTCAAATCTGTTTTCAGAAATCTTATCACTTCAATAGATCAATTGGAATATTTGGCAAAAAAAACTAATAAAATACTATGTCACGCGTTTGTTAGACAAAAACAGAAAATCACGGTATCGAATCCCCTTAATACTAACGTTATAATATAAGCAATTAATCCGAGGTATGCGTCAGAGTGAAAACTCTTACCTTTAATTGAGGTGATTCTGTTCGGGGAGCCAATTTGACGATGCTGGGCCGGTGTTATTGGTAGAGCCGTGGTCAGCCGGTCGTGATGATTGATGAAGTAGATTTACGTGACACTCAGAAGAAAGAATTTTAATACACAACACTGTGGGTTTACTGGGTATAGCCCCGAGGCTCTTCATTACGTTAGATCAAAAGAAAACACAAGTTTACGATGAACTTATCTTATATCTATAACGATGTCGCTGGTCGTATCACTCGTGGTCGCGACCGTCACGCGGTATGTCCCGTTGACCGTGGACGGGCGAGAACTGAGAGCGGCGATGTTATGTCAACAATAGGAAAGACCAATAGGTGACGATGAGATGAACGTAAGGAGTGATCTCTAATGTATGAAATATATATAAAATAAAAAAGGCCGCTGAACGATATCAACAATGAGGGTCAATGCGATGGTGGTTTTTCGTACGGTCACAGTTGGCGAAAGAGAGAGCGAGCCGCCGGCGCCGGTACTCGTCTTGCGCGACTTGCCTCCCCGTCCCGCCTTGTGCCTTTGTAGCTATCGTAGCCCATGGTGGTGGTTGACAAAAGCGTAGACCGGTCGCTGCGGTACCTGTACTTTGTACTGGTTGCCGCTGCGTACCGTGTCAAAGCTTAAAAGTGTTGTACGTTATAATGTTATATCGTTATGCACTACAGGTAGA